TATATATATTATAAAAGAAAACACTTACAAAATATACAAAGCCAAGTCAGATTTTGTTAAACAGAGTATAGGAAACATAAGTCAATTAAGTTCATTAATAGATAAAGAAAACTGAAATTAAACATTCAACAAACTCCAACTTGATATTTTCAAGAAAAAATAATTGTTACTTCTGCTTGAAGTCAAAGTCTTACCGCCTCCTAAAACATTTCCTCACACCCTCTTTGGTAAGGTGGAAAAGTCTACATCTTCATAAATTGTATTACATTTAGCTAAAGCCCGAAATATTGGCGAATTACGCAGATAATTGTGTTCGTACAAGGCACATGGAACAATTGTGAATATTTTGTCGTATACGGGGAAGGGTTTCTTAAAGAAATAAACATCAAATAGGTGCTATTTATCCATTTTACCATTGCCCGTTAAGAATAGCGTGTAAAAATATTAAATCTTTCTGACTCCGCCGACATTCCAATAATCTAAATTAAATTTTTATTGGCGTTCTAGAATAATGGGTAAGATTCAAAGTCCAGACTTATCAAGATAGCTTCTGATTGTCAACATCAAATATTTTTACAGGAGTCATACTTACTTAGTTTTGGCCCTAAACATTCCGAAACATCGGAAAGCAATCCTATTATGCTCTGTATAATTTATAGAAATTTTTCCTAGTAATAAAGGCGGCATTACCATAACCTAACCGCGATTTTATGGATGTGTCAAACGAAAGTTAATTAATTATGTATAAAAGCCCGCGACACTGTCATAAATTCCATAGATCCAATTAAATTTATCTTAATTCAGACTCAATTAAAATGTTTGCTAGAACCTACAACCTTCGTGATTCATAACGCAAGTACGCAAGAAATAACATCAAATTAATTCATTGAAAGTCTTAAAATATTCTCCAAAATAGCTGATCGCCTTGATTCTCTCTCTTCAGGGACATTGCGTCTCTGTGCGTTTACAAAAGAAGATTGAAAAGATTTGTTTGGGGTGATCCCTGCTGCCTTGCTTCATCATCGCGCCCAAGGTTTCATCCGCACTTAAATGGTTGTACATCATCCACGCTTTTTAGGCTTACTGGCGCTGTGGAATAGGGTTCCATTTGGAACTCCAAGTATTTATTATTGCCTATTACTTTCTCGGCTTCCTTCCTTCGGTTCTCCTCCTTTATTTAACAGTTATCCCACTGACTTGACCACAGTCCACTCTCGGATGTTCATAGTCAAGTCATTTTGCGCCTACCAAGTTTCCGTTTATCTGGAATTTTGTCCGTTATTATGGTCTCCAAATGTACTGGCTCTTTCCTCGGCTTGATGATCAATTATTTTGCGCATACTTTACACACGTTACAACGTATACCACGTTTGATACTTTGTCTGTCCATTTGATCAGCATTCTTCGATAAGTCCACTCTAAAAATTTTATTACTTAGCCTACCTTTTTAGTAGCTACATATCAACATATGGAACATTTTGCTATGCCATAAGTGTTAGCGATCCCGGAGCAAAACTCTTAAGTAAATTAAATTAATGATTTATTTTCTTAGGCCTCCAATATTTATCTCCACAAAACCTTTCTCCGAGTTCAAGCCGTCCTGGTCCTGGCCGTTTTGAGCTTAGCAACATTTTGATTGTTTTTTTTTTATTGATTATTAATAAAAATGTTCATTTGTGAGTAAAATTTAACACTTAATATTAGATTTGAACAAAAATGGGTCATACCATAAATTTTATGTCAATGTAAACGTCTATCTAAGACAGTTATTATGTTCACTAAATGAGATGTATTTAAAGTTGCGTGCACAAAATTACTCTACAACATGTATATAATTTTATAACACCTTGAAAATGTTCAAGGTCTCGGACACAGCTTAAAACTAAGTGCAAATATCAAAATCTAAAATGGGGACGACACGAAAGTCGCATAACTCGGATACGTTTTGCGTTATCATCCATACGACGTGTAAAATGATGGGCATAATTCAAGGCAAGAGACGGGCTGGTAGAAGGAAGAAGTCGTGGTAGCGGATTAAACGGTAATGGACCGGGATCACATCACCAACCTTTAATAAACCAGGAGCGTTGAACGATTAACGCAACAGTGCTTTCATACCCCCTCCATGATAGCGTTAACATTTAACGCAACCTTGTTGGACGTTGCATTAGACGTTTCACTGCAAAAAGTGGTACCCGAAGAAGAAAAAGAAATAAGTATTGACTATATGAACTTAAGAACAAGTTTCAGTTTGGCCCACGAAGTTCAAACAATTTGTTGAAACAAAATACTGTCGTATTGTCACAACGGATTTGACAAGTAACACGATCAATATTGACGGATTCGAAATCCGTAAAAATTCAAATTTCGAACGGTAGCTCTCGTTGCGCGTGCCAATAAACAAACAGGATGACATAGACAAGTTTTGCGCGTCAAGAGCATTGTAAACATGAAGTTTTCACTGCCGTTTTGAGTGTTATTTGAATGGAGTTAACGGGCAATTCTAACAATGAATCTAATTAAATGCTACATTGTGGCGGGAAATAGAGTTTTGATACTTCATAGGTAATAAAGCCTATGTGCGCTGTTGCATAGTGCGGGTGACAGTTGCTTAATTTTTCGTTTCACTCTTTAAAGTTTCCGCGATTTATTTTATTTTAAAAGGCACACTAACGAAACACATACAAACACTTACAGAGAACACATAACATAGAAAACAAGATACATGCATCAATAACAAGTGTGCACAACATTTAAAGGGAAACATTACAATGATGAAGAGAAAATAACTTAAATAATTTTATTTTTTCTACAAAACATACAAAAGATAAAAAATACAAACATGCAATTTACAAATATATAAAAAAAACACAATAATTTTCAACTTTGCAATTATCACTATTGGTCTCGGATCAACAGTGGCTGCAGCATCTTACGCCTGAAGACATGGAGACTGTCACTAAATGGATCTGCTTGGCATGTACTCAGAGCGTCGTTTAATGTCGATAGAGATCTTTCTAGAGGAGCATTACAACCGACGTTGGTCCTCACTGCCCGATTTACAAATTATGACAGTATTTCAGCTGTACCAAATTCGTAATATATTAAATTGCGTGTTGTTCCCACGAGAATGTAAGTGCGTGCTCCTATTTCACCATGCCTCCTGCTGATAGAAGACGAATCTTTGTTTTTAATTTATTTTATTATTACTAAGGATGTTATGTGGAACATGGTGTAATTGTTGCAGCTCCTTACAAACGTTGTGTAAAACAAAAAACTTGGCGATTAAAAAGAGTGGCGGAGAGTTTTTTCCAGTTCTTCTCTTCCGTTCTACACCCTTGATTTGAGAACTGGCAGTAAATGTAAAATTAGAATCATTTAATGTATATTTCTTTTTTGAGGTTCATAAGTGTACATTGTGTTTCCTACATTTAAAAAAAATCATTAATAATTGTAGTAACTTAAATTTAACCCAGCCAGAATGTTCTTTTCTACAAATAAAATCAAATTGAAAGAAAAATTAAGCTGTTAAGTTAAATTAACTGTCACTCGCACCATGGTACACCGCACATACTATAATAATTGGTGGGTTTTCCACAAAATTCGTATCTTTTAAGTTGTCCTAAACCATAAACCACCAGTCCATCGTGGATCTGACCGTGCCAAGTATCGCTTAACTTCTAGAATCTATCCTCTTATATCAGCAATTTCACATCTCACATAAAAAAACCCACTGGAAGTTTCCTAACAAATTTGCCTATTACCCATCCAATGTCTGTCTCCGACAAGTGTTGCTTAACCTAAATCAGTACGGCAGGTGGTCCCATTACAAATAAAAGGTGAAAACAAGTAAACTGGCGTGTTCAAATATTTGTTGTGTCAATACATAACTGTTCATCGATTTTCATGAGAAAATACTATTTTTCACATATAAGTGCGACGCTACTGATACGATTTTATTATACACTTTTTTACACCATCATTGCATTTCACAAACACTTAAACTTGAAAGAGTACAGTTAAACACTTAGTTATGTTTAACTGTCATTTGCCTAGCGACTGGTTAGAAGGAAAGCGGGCAGTGTACTTGGGACGCTACAGTATTGAAAGATTTAGGACAATAGTTACGACCGCAACACAGTAGCGCTACAACCTTTTTAGGTCTTGGCCTCAGATTTATGTATCTGTTTCGTGATCATTTGTTAATCTAATATGCTGGTGATCAGCCTTCTGTGCCTGACACACCCCTTCCACTTTTTGGGTCTAAGGCAAGCCGGTTTCCTCACGATGTTTTCCTTCACCGTTCGAGCGAATGTTAAATGCGCTCATCGAAAGAATCTCCATGTGTGCACAGCCGAGGATCGAACCTACGACCTCAGAGATGAGTCGCACGCTGAAGCCACTAGGCCAACTGCTCGCCGAATGCATTACACTTATTCATTTTTGACTAACATTTACAATCTCGAAGCGTACATAATTACATATAGTAAAACTTGACTTATTGATCTGAGCTATTATTTTAAATTACTACTATATATTTAATATGTCCAACACCAATATACAGTATTTAGAATATTCCTAACCTACATAGTAATAATTAAAAAAATAAAATTGATAAATATACAATTAAAACAAATTTAAAGAGTTTGGTCCCTGTGGGAGTGTACCATTAATGCTGGCAGCATTTCCTCGCTGTATTGCGATACTTATTCGTTGAGCGTTGGTAAATTAAGAAACTCTAATGGTAGGTGTTTTGCATTACTTGGAAATTGTTAACGAAAGATTTTAAAACTAAGTAAATTATTAAGTTTTCCCCCCTTAACAATCAAATTACCCCCCTTGTGGGCAAGTGGACCCCACAACATATGGGGATACACTGCCTTAATTGATAAAATCTACACACGTAGATGTCGAAGTTTTGAGTTCTTAAAGACGTCTAGTTCAAGGGTAAAATTAAAAATGTTTTACTCAATTTTCTTCCACAGTCGTTGATGCGGTCGATGTCTGTGGAACAACGGTGGCAGGATCTAGCGTCGTTGCTGACCATCCCTCCGCCCCCGGACCAGTACCAGCACTACCACCAACATGCTCACGCGCATAACATCAGGTATGTATTTAAAATAAGTGTTTTATTCTGAAATCGAATCCCATGCATGCATTACGATAGTATAAATTTATTTTATTTTTCTTTATTTATTTACAAAATGATGCTGTCCTAACAGGTAACCTTTAATCGATAAAAAATTAATTAGGAAAAACAAGCTTAAGAATATTTACTAAATTAACAACTATTACTAGTGCCTATATATTTACATAAGTATACACACGCTCTTGAAGTTATACTTCTTTTAGCGCGTTAGGGAAAAATGATGAGAGTACATTTTTACGATGCGTACACACACCGTCACAAAAAACCGACACCCTGAAGTTAGCTATAGTCAAGATTTTATTTTATCTAAAATTCTAAAATAGACGCTTTAATGATATACGACATACACAAGCATTTAATATCCTTAAAAAGGACCTTATATATCATTAACTTTTTTAACAGCCACGGCGCAGGGGGCCACTACCCTCCCAACTACCACGCCCCTCACGCCCCGCTTCCGCCGCATCCTGAGAAACTTGCAGAGCCCTACGGTAGGTACCACACATGTAACAAAAAATTGTTTTAACATATCGTCGCTGTAAAATGGTAACCTTGTATGTCCAGAGAACCAAACATTACGGAAACGAAAAAAATTTTGCATTTCGTCAATGTTCGTTAAAATATTATTATGTGTTTTTGTCCATAGTTTTAAATGGTAATTAATAACATAAATAAGTCCTTAACACATGATTTTACCAGTTAAATGACATAAGAGTCTAAAAATAAAAAATAAAGGGTTTTTACACAAGGGTTATCATTCAACAGCGACAATATGTTCAAACTCAAACTCGGAATATCTTTATTCAAGTAGGTAACCAAGTACACTTTTGAATCGTCAAGTTAAATTACCTCGTAAATTTACATTTACTACTAGTCGCAAGTCATAGGGGCAGTAGAGCGGGTAAGATATAACTGGCAGGAAACTTTCGGCCACTCTTTTAATCCCATGTATGTCATACAAATTGTTTGAACTGGAGCAATTCACCCAAGGATTAGGCATTTAAGTAGTCCTCAAATTTATAAAGTTTGTTGATTAATTTTCGTTTAACGAGGGTTTGAATTTACTAGTGATAATTCTCTAATTTGGAGAGCTTTTTTTTAAAACGAATAATTTATTTAAGGAGTAAGTTTACTTTTGGAGCCTGGTTGGTCGTACATCAAATTAGTTCTATTTCCGTATTATACTGGTAAAGTCACCATTTGTTTTAAAATCGTTTATATTTTTTTGGACATACAACAAGGCTTCAAGATATTTGACGGATAGTGTCATAATAATTAATTTCTTAAACTTATTCCGTACTGACTCCTTCGGAGAAACACAACAGAATACCCCGTATAGCCCGCATCTGCAGCACAAATATGGATTGAACCTCTGCAGGCATCCACAGTAAAATTCGTACACATAAGCTATGAAAGTAGCTATGGTACACAATTTTAGCCGCGTCCTCATAGTAAACTGTCGGATTTTCTTTACTGCATATGCTGTTATCTGATTTTCGGCAGATAAATTGATCAGTGACACAGGTATTTTTGTACTAAAATTGCCTCAAAATTGTTCAAATTACGGGAAATATCAGTGATATGATATAATCAGTGAAACACTTGGGCAAACATATATAGACATTATGTGATCAATTACCTAGCCATAAAGAAATTTTGTTATAAATCTTTAGGTGTTTATTCACTTGAACTCAAATAAAACGTGAATATATTTATTTATTAAAGTTTACCTCATCATACATAATATATACTTACAGTATATGTTAAGAAGCAATCTTTTCTAAAATATATAACTTTGGTAATAATACCAGTAAGTTTTGCGTATTGTTAAACAAAAATTTTAAAATTGATCAATGATCATTCCACTACTGAATATGTATAGGTATCTAGTTCGTCTAAAAATCCACTTGTCACTTATATGTAAAGCCACGCCCCATAAATGTACATATATGTATCATCTTTACTGTCCTAAATTCGATAAAACGCTGATTAACGGCTGATTGTCGAATTGTTATGATATCGCAAAAAATATTGAAAATTTCATGATTTTGCATTTGTTTGCTGTTAATTTTTGCGTATTGTTAAGCAAAAAAAGCCAGCAAAAGAGTGGATTTGGTATGGAAACGCTTTCTTTAAACTTGATCAGCCCACTACCATATATATTTTTTGCAGATGGGATTAGGAATATATACATAAAGGACGTTTTGACTTCCTTTTTTGCTAATTTTTTTTAAACTCAAGCACATGGTTCTTGCATGTTTGCTGCAGTTTCAGTTGTAACAAATATTTAAAACCACGCCCCAATCAATGTATATGTATCATCTTTATTGTCCTAAATTCGATAAAACGCCGATTAACGGCTGATTGTCGAATTGTTATGATATTGCAAAATATATTGAAAATTTCATGATTTAGCTGTTTATCGCTAGATATGAAAATCACATTGTAATGTGTATTAATCGATTATCGACGAATTTAATCATAATTGTTAGTGACTATCTGTCGTGAAAAACGTGAATACCTCAATAAGATATATTATATATATATATATATAATATATATATATATATAATATTGCTTTAAACTCAAAAAGAATATACAGGACAGACTTTACGAACGTTTTCCAAAATTTCTTCACTGAATTATTTCTGAACCTATTCGACTTAGGGTTCTTAGAGCAAACCAATGTAAAAAAAGCCGGCATCGCACTCGCGAGCCCTGTGGCATAGGGTATCCATGGGCGGTGGACACGCAACATCAACTCAATATCACTTAACATCAGATGAGCCTCCTGCCCGTTTCTTCTATTTCTATGTTAATTTTAGTTTTTATAGACGAGTAGGTGATCAGCCATTTATGCCTGATGACGTAGATTTTTGTGTTTTAAGACATGAATAGAAGGAAATATCGATCGTCTTGATTCGAACCCACGACCTCAGCTTTAAGAGACTCATAAGTCACGGCCTATACTGCTCTTTAGATAACATTATTTTGATAATATATATTAAAATCTTTTGTATTCATAAAATATATAAGGTAGGTACTAGCTGTTCCCTGCCGGTTGAGAAATGAGAAACAAAACAGAGAAAACATTACATATAAGTTTAATTTTGCAATACTTGTGGAAAAAAATAATGAAAAATTAAAAAAACAAAAAATTAATGTTAAAAACAAGCCTTGATGCGGCTGACGGCTGAGTTTTTAAAGCGTACCAACATAGCATTTTTATATATGTATATATATAAATGTTATATGTTATGTTGGTTTTTGTTATATAAAATATGTATATACATTATACATTTAAAGTGACGTCTGGTTCCCCCCTCCAAGTATATGTACGAAACTCAAATGAAGTGAGTGAAATAAAGATGTTTTTTTTTTCAGGAGCTGCAGCTCCAATCGAAAGTTCTTACAAAGTGGAATCAGCCCATCACCCACAACAACATGACGCTATATACTATCAGGTAAACTCAAACTCAAAATAACTTTATTCATATAGGTAATTAAGTACAGTTATGAACGTCAACAGAAAAGATGTTAAATTGATTCTAATTTACATTTACTAACAGTTCACAAGTCAAAGACGTAGAGCGGGCAAGAACTGGCAAGAAAAAACTCTCGGCCACTCTTTTTAATCACCAAGTTTTGAGTCATACAAATTGTTTGAACTGTAATCAATCGCAAAAGATCATTTAAATACTCTTCATATTTATAAAAAGCTTTATTGATTAATTTACGTTTAACGAGAGTTTTAATAATTCTCTAATTTCGATTGGGAGTTTGTTGTAAAAACGAATACAATTTCCATATAAGGAGTGGTTTATCTTCTGGAGCCTGGTTGGCCGTACGCTTAGATTAGTTCTGTTTCGAGTATTATACTGGTAAAGGTCACCATTTGTTTTAAAATCGTAACATAGTCCTATTTAAGTATATCTTCCAAATCATCACAATTTCAAGAAAATTGTATGAAATCTTGAGTAGAGCAGCGCCGTATAAACTTTGAAACAACTTCATTGCTGAAGTTCGATGTCCAGCTAAATGCGGTAGGTTGGCAGAAAAGACCGATTAATAGAACGACTCAGTCTGCAGCAAGAATAATTGGGATATCTTACTGCGCTTAGAGATTTATTAATTTTTTTAACTATAACAGTAACTTAACACTCAACCAAAGCTACAGGCGTGTCAAAAATCGATGGAACGATGTATAATGGGGAGAAAAGAATAGATAAAATAAAGAATACATCTTTAAGACAACAACTAAGGTACCAAATGTTACAATAAAAATCAATAAACTTAAGTGGAAATGGGCGGGGCACATGGCAAGAGGAAGTGAGGCCCAAGGTACAATAATCGAAAAAGAGGAAGACAACTTAGAAGGTGGATAGACTAAATTGAGGAAACAGCAGATACATGGCAAAGAGTGGCACGTGCAGGCAGGAATTTGGAGGAGGCCTTTGCCAAAAATATGGCCACAGATACGTAACAAGAATTAGATAGAAATATAGATGCTAAATGTTAAAGTATCTGTAATAAAAGTCTATTATTATTATTAAATGATAAACAAACATAAATAATACAGAATGGAAGAGAAATGCATGTTTGAATTTCAAATATATGTTGTATAATGAATATTTTGTTACAGAATTCAACATCGGAAATGGCGCCCAATCAAGATGGCTTCCTGCAGTCGATATTAAATGATGAAGATTTACAACTGATGGACATGGCTATGAACGAAGGTAAGTTAAATATTACCGATACAAAAATGTAATATGTATGTAATATGTGGTAAAATTCCTAAAGATATATTCATAAAAACGTTTAATATTAAAAGAGTGTTTAAATATTTTATCACCAATTGAGCGAATTCAGCGTTGACGAGTTTACAAATCTCAAAATGAAAAATCTTAGAACAGATTGCCGATTGAAGTGTTAAAAGATAAATTTGAGAACTTTTAAATAAACTTGATTTAAAATGTGTACAATCATTGTATGTACGTCAGTTAAATTATCTCAAACTTAACTAAACTAACACAAGTTAAATAATGTTTATTTGGTTTAGAAAAAATTATCATTCCAACAAATCAAGATAATAAAATTCTAACGACATAAATAAATATTTAGACACATGACCTCTATTTATTTATTAGTATTTACAAACTTAAGCCTCTGATACTGATGTTTATTTCACGATAACTGATAATATCATTTCCCGCCAACGCCCGCCATTTTGAATTCACGCTCTGTCTGAAACAGTCGTTTGTAATTATTATAATCTGTGCTGTTATTCCAAAATGGGTTCTTACGTGTACAGACTATTTGTTAAGAAGTGAATTTAATTTTTTTGTTATTGTTAATTGACATTTGTGTATGTAAATAATTGTCAGTGTTAACCAAATATATACCTATATACGCGCGAATTTTTGAACTTTATCAACTTTGACTTTTGTGTTGTGTCTTCGTGTTTTTGAAAGCCTACCTATGCCATTCTTTTTACGCGAACGTAGAATGTGCAGACGGGTGCACAATAAGTACAACTGTGGATGCATGTGCAAAATTTGTTGCGCTCTGAGAAAAACTAGGACATCCTGCGAGTCCCTAATAAAAGTACCGGTTTTTGTTTTGAAAACCTACAACTATTGTCTCTGGTCATTCAAATTCAAGAAATTAATTGATTAGGACGTTATCGAGCTCTATTTTCAGCTGCGATAATATAAAGTCATTGGTGTTTGACAAAGAATTAAATAAACACGTATTTATTGTCTGTGGGGAAATTTCTCGCAATAGAACAAAGAGGTTTGATGCGATTTGGAGATTGCAACGCATTGACACACATTAAAGTTGAAATATATCCCTAAACACCTTAAGGGGTATATCATAGTCTATATTTTAGAGTAAAACATTAAGACTATTCAACGATTAAAGAGATAGACTCGGCTTCGAGATGGATATTTCTGGTTACTACCCTTATACGAGTTTCTATCCCATTTCGCCGTATTACGGCAGAATGCTTTACCCAGACATGGAATATCTGAATTACTACAAGTATTATGATGGTAAGTTGAGGGAATAAAAAATAACATATATATTAAATACTTTTATTATATTTTACTTCAGGTACTTTCTTTAAATTCATTTGCAAATTACTGATCGGGTTAACAACTTATTCTAAGGATTACGCACAGATATTTGAAATGCTAGTCTTCATTGGCTGCATAGTTCCTCACACATGTCCCTCATCTTTCAAAAACTTAAAGAATTATATGAAAAGGTCAAATTATAACGAGATAGAGATAGAGACTGTCAGTAGAAAGATGTAAGTGCTACTAACCTTCCTTTAGTAGAAAGAAACAAAAACTTCTGGATTCCGAAAACCTTAACACGCGACAATTTTTTAAGATTAAAAGATCCTTCTTCTTATAACTTTTGTTGATAGTATTTTTACTTTTATTCATTTCTTGCTGCGGTTGTTTAGTAGCCTGGAAGAGTTTGCTTATTAATGGCCTTTGACCTTTATATATATAACCGTATATGTTTTATGATTCCCTTGAGAAAGCAAGGCAATACAAATATATGTATTAATATAATATTGTTAATAAAACCTTAAACTTCGTTACGTAGCGTCGTTATCTTGTCGCTAAATTGCAGTTTACATTAACGAACTTGTCACTCGGAATATTTTAATACATAGTTATCTCATGCAAATATAAAACAATAAATCTATTTAAGCTAAATAAATAATGCGCAGTACAGTTGTTTACGTTACATATCCCTGGCAAATATAGTATATAAAGTGTAATATTATAAACCTTCATTAAAAATAACAGTCAGTATTAAAATTCTAATTATTAAGTTTCTGGTGGGAGAGTTTGATGGCTCTCCGACCTGATGATGTGATGTTTTCTGATGAGCAGACTTCACTCCACGTTCCAATATTTGATTATTATCAAATAGTTATACAAAACTCTGATTCCTTTGTCAGATTTTTGAATCACTTGTCTGACAATAATCAGTTCTAATACGTAGCAATACGTATTTTGTATTTAAAAATAGCGCGTGTGAAGTAATAAACGAATACTTCGATAATAATCGTGAAAGGTCTTACCTTTAAACTTAACTAATTCTAAAGACATTTTTGGAGATTATTGACCCCCCCATGTATCTCGCCGTAACGTTTAGTATCCTAGTACAGTACTGTACTCAAGTATAGTAAAACGTTTCGTGACCACCTTGTGTCTCTTTAGTTACTATTATGTGGTGTAAGTCGAAAATAATATTACCAATAACGCGTAATTCAATCCCCGCCCCGCATCGTGACGTTTTACAAAAGGACCCCCCCCTCCCAAAACGCGTTACGTAATACTTGAACGCTCCCTTAATTAAGTAACAGTGTAGTGGCGATACAACACAGCTATCAGCTATGCCTCACTCTGTAGTTCAATTATTATGCAATAATAAGAAAGTACAACTTTTCTTCTACACTGTACATTTGTAAAATGTCAATACATATGAACTGTGCCACATACTTGTCTTGGCTGTTAAGAGCGTCGCTGTCATGGATATTAGTATTGCCTGTACATAAAAATTAACCATTAGAAGGGGAATAATTCGTAGTCTAACTTAATAATTTATTGTTATGTCTTAATAAAACAATGTATACTATATCTATATAGTATATAGAGAATACAGTTCTAGGCTTAAATAAATGTGACATAAACTTAGGAACAACTGATATGATAGGTTTTGTTACCTGTACTATTAACAATATATTTCAAGATACCTAGCAATTAGAACCGTTCGATGATTAAATTTATGTAATTAATAATGCAGGGAATAAAAATATTTTTTATTAGATGTTGGTAGATAGTAAAATTATTTATTGTACGCACCAAAATGGCGACGGTAGTACCAATTTCAGCCGCCGGCCAAGAAAAGTATGTGCTACTTTAAACTGGATTCGATTGGATTTTTGTAATCGAATATATTGAAATATTTAAAAATCGGGGAATTACTATCCACTAATCTCATAATTTATTAATAAGCAAGTCATTTATCTTATCAATACAACGAAACTTATCATTGCAAATAATATTTTTGACTGTCATTCGTATTACAATTTTCGCGATAAACAGAAATAGTGTTTATATGTTGATATGAATAAAATATCTTTGACAGTATCTTTGAGTTACGCGGTCATGATTTCACAAAATTGAATGAAAAGCCAACCTTGAATGGAGATATCATTACTGGAAAATACCCAAGTAAATTTTCACGAATACAACATTACAGTTGAGTTTTAACTTCCAAAAAATTTGAACCATGTAACGTTAATAATAATATTTAATCTGTTTCAGGAATGTACACAATGCGCATGCTGGATGGCGCCACTGCGCATGTGCCACAGAATCAAACTCACATGCCTATGACCACAGGTAAGAAATATTTATCAGCACAGTACTTAATGTTTTATTCTATAATTTATGAATGGACGTCGAAGGTAACGAAATAAAGACGCAATGTGTTTTTTTTTCGCTTTAGACCAGTGTTTGCCAACGTGGGGAAAATTTGAGTTAAGGGGGGCTAAATAACTATATGTATGTTTGCACTTCTTGCTTACCTAATCAAATTTTTTTCTCTCAGTGGTTGCCTGCAGTTGCCCTTCTTTTCATTTAATTATGTCAATTTTATTATATTTCTGTGTGCAACGAAGTGTGTTTTCATTTAATTATGTCAATTTTATTATATTTGTGTGTGAAGTGACACATGATATTATTACGTCCTATTGACCAATCACAATCAAATGCAAATTGTCGTCTTACGAAGCCAAATCCCACTAAGTAGCCTAATTTTTCCTCTAGATCTTTATTTAAATTTTAATTAATATTTTCAGAGCGTGACTCGGCTTCAGACAGCGCTGTTTCATCCATGGGTTCGGAGAGAGTCCCATCACTGTCTGACGGAGAATGGTGTGATGGAAGTGACTCTGCGCAGGATTACCACAGGTATTTTTCAATTTGAAAGTCCTTCGAAACTGACTCGATTATCAATATAAAATTCAGTTTTCCCGATAATTCTAAATACCAATAAATTCTGTGTGTTTTTGAATTTAGACACTATTTGCGATATTTAAAGAAACTATGTAAATAAGTAACTAAAACTAATGCTTAGGGTGTTCCAACGCTCATCCCTCAAAGGTCGGTAACGGACCCTAAAATGGGTGTCTAAAGGCTGCGACGACTGTCCTTTTGGGCGTCCCGCAGTCTCGTTTGCCTCCCTATTATATAAAAAAAACCGCCGAATAATTCATATTTTAAGATCTTTTCAAGCGTTTCGAGTTCAACAAACCAAAACATATTATCACGAAAAACAATTTATTTTAAAATTTTTGACGCACCGCTTTAAAAGATATCGAAATGTTTTTGGAAACGAAAGCTTAAATGTTATAAATAGTATATAATATACGTGACGAAATAGGATTAACAGATTATTATTTTGTTAATCATGCTAGATAAATTCAAAAAGTGAAAATCATTAAAATTAAGTCCTTATCATTGATATGATAAAATTGTCTAGTTTTTACGATGACACTGTACGAGCCAAGGCTGTACATTTTGCTCACTTATAATCGTGACGATTTCTTAAATCGTCGGAGTTACACCCCGAGAGCATAGCCAGACGCAGGACGCAGACTCTTTATCTGTTAAATTGCATTCATTCTTTACATAACAATTAACATTTCATTATTTTTCTCATATTCTACGTATTGATAGACGCGAGTGGTTAATATAGAGTAAAACAAGAATCTTTAATCTATTATTTAAAGCACCCGATGACCCAGGAACCGTACAGACACGAATTTATTACTTTTTCTTTAATAATACCCTTATCACCTCGACGTCCATTTTCTACTTGGTCATTACGGACGATATTTTAACGTGACAACGTCATAACAAAACATTGATGAAATGATTGCATACTTTTATGAATAAAATAAATATTTTTTATTGAATTATCACTATTGTATGGATACAAAGGACTGAATTCTCGGAGGCATCAGGCCAATCGAGTGGGAGAGAGATGCAGCGCAAGCGTACAATGAGCGTAACGGGACAAAAATTTTCGTGCGTACAGCCGGCGTTGTCACGTCAAAATGAACATTTTGTGTTACTAGTAGCATTAGATACATTAAAAAACTCGGCAATAGAAATTAGTCTCCACATAGCATCAAAATTTCGATTTAATAATAATTTCTTTATTTAAGCAGACAACCATAAGTCCATATGATTACTATGATTTTAGTTACAATATTGTCTTAAATAGTTAAGGGAGCGTTCAAGTATTACGTCACTGAATTTTTGGAGAGCATTGAGCCCTCCCCCCCATGTAACGCGCCGTAAAAACTTTCCATGTCAGTACTGTATAGTAAAACGTTTCGTGACCACCTAGTGACTCCTTATACCTAAAAGTTACCATTATGTGGTGGAAAGTCGAATATAATTACAATAACGCGTAATTGAATCCCCGCCCCGCATCGTAACGTTGTACAATAGGAACAATTCGTTACGTAATACTTGAACGTCATAAAAATAAAATAAAAATGTGTGCGTGTACTAGGGTGTACACACGTAAGAAGTGAAACTTCTTTATGACCTTATTAGAAACTATTTCTTTAAACACAGTAAATTTTGATACACTGCCTAGCATACAATTTACAAATTAATTGCTGCAAATTGCGATTAGCAAATTTCAAGTCGAAGATGTAATCCGTTGTCAAACTCCAAAGTCAAAAACATACTATATGTCATATTTTAACGCCGATAAAGAAGTTTGACTTTAAAAAGCAACATGGCGCGTAACGGAAAATGTAGTAAGTAAATGTTACACTAAATTTTTTTCCAACCCCGATAAAGAAGTTTCACTTCAAAAATACTCTCACACACATCACCGCAACAAGGCACACATTTTTACCGTGTAACGTATCAGGAGTCTTCTGGAATTAGGAGTAATTGCAGTTAAGTGAGCTTGTAGGAATGAATTATTAATATGACGCATATCCAATACAATGTATCATTATTTTAGCACTTAATAGAAATATAAATTAATTATAAAAAATCCTAATAGTTTTTAATTGTCCACAGTTCAAAATTCCGTCCATATGACGGCGCATATGCCAGAGAACGAAATGCCCATGCGCCTCAGAAGAAACATCAGATGTTTGGCAAGAGATGCTTCCAGGTACCTATTTCATATAGTTAATAAAGTATATAAACATCAACAGAAAATATGTTACATTGATTCTGAATATACATTTACTATCAGTTCGCAAGTCAAGGGCGTAGAGCGGGCAAGAGGAACTGGCAAGAAACTTTCCGCCACCTTTTAATCGCCAAGTTTTGAGTCATACAAATTATTTGAACTGGAGCAAATCAAACAAGATCATTTAAATAATCGTCAAATTACAATATTATTTTATTTATATTTGCTAAATGTTATGTATATTAGTTTTATAAATTTAATTTACATTAACTAACTTTACATCTAAATATGTTCAGCAATTTTGAGGTATTTTTTTTATTGCGTTCTTAAAGTCTGTCAGTTCTGTTTGTTATATCACATTTATCTAAATGTAACATATTTTTAGGAGCAACCTCACTTGGAGCCTCTCGTGCCCCGTCCGCCTGCCGTGAAGTACGAATGTGAACAGACTTATCATCATGAAAATATGCATATGCACAATGGTAAGTGTATATTTATTTAAGAACCATTTCGACTTAGGGTCCTTCAAGAAAACAGCGTACCGATTCTTGAAACGCCGGTAACGCATTTGCGAGCCTTCTGGCAATGTAAGTGTCACTTAACATCAGGTGAGCCTCATGCCTGTTTGCCTCCTTCATACAAAAAAAAATTAAAAAGAGAAAATTAAAGACATATGTTTCGTCCTTGTCACTCTAATATCAGGTTGATTATAAACAAACGAGACAGCAGGTTCATGACGTGTCATGTGCGTCAATTTTTTTTTTAATTTATCTAAAAATTTTGATTAAAATATGAATTAAATTCAAAAATTAATTCAATAATTGTTTGTTGTAAAGTATTTATTCCCATCCATAGTGGAGTACGGTCGTCATCAGCTGGCAGGACCTCACGTGACTCCGCTTCAACCAGCTTTGGACCTGAACACGGCGCATTCCAGTCACGCTCTCCTGCAGGTAAAATTATTCCTTAATTATTTGCTAATTCCATCCAGTTTTATGTATTATTATATTCTATTATTGTTTATGTTCGCAATCCAAAAATATATATGATGCTGTAATGGACGATTCAAGTCAAGATTAAGACAAATCTGCGTTGCATAGATTATTCACACAAGTACTAAATGACAGCTGACAGATTAGAATGACAATTACCGCCAATATTTAATTAAAAAAGTAAAACAGCTATATATAACGTACAAAGAAAAGTAATAATCTGATTTGTTTTACAGAACAACGTAACTCCACCAGCGGTCAACCGTTTTCCGCTTTTGGGTGATAGAGTGAGACACAACCACACCTACAGCGCGCCATTGCCGCCGCCAGACCATAGACAACCGGTCAGAGACAAAAGAGGTATGTGGCATAGAGTATTTACTTTATAATAACCTGATATTAAGAAATACCGCCGTCATAGACACTCACATTGCCAGAGGTCTCACAAGTACGTTGCCGGCCTTTTAAGAATTGGGCCTTTAAAGACCCTTAGTCGTTAAGTTCCACATAGTGGTGGTGCGCGACCAAAATAGTTGTTGAACGACAGACGACGATTAATTCCCTACATTTCTTCACCGTCCTAGAATGACCCTTTAAAATGTTTTAATATTGTCTTTGGTTTCCTCGAGTATTACTATATAAAGATTATTTTTTTCATCTAATTTAAAATTAGATGAAATTTTATATTCATATTCAGTAAGTCAGATTTATTTTTTAATTTTTAGACATTTATTTTTTGTTTTTATTTTTTTATGAAATATAATACAAATACTCGTACATAGAACCTCTAATTATCATGCCTCTACGATCTATTGTAGATAGTTATTTTTATTAAACTCAAAAAAATGTTTCCTAGAAATAATATACATGGCAAAACAACGTTTGCCGGGTCAGCTAGTTTCTTTATATAAGTGAAATTATTTTCTTACGTAAAACAAGTCTGACGATTTGGCGGTGCAAATTTTCAAAGATTACATTCACTTTGCGAGAAAATTTAGAGTAAGTTAGTTAGGGAGCGTTCAAGTATTACGTCATGCAATTTTTTGGCGATTATTGACACCCCCCATGTAACGCGCCGTAACGTTTTTCTGTACCCAATAGTAAAACTTTTCGTGACCACCCAGTGACTCTTTATACCTAAAATTTACCATTATGTGATGTAAAGTACTGGAAAGATGAAAATAATATTAACAATAACGCGTAGTTGGATGCCCACCCCGCATCGTAAGGTTTTACAAATAGATTAAAAAAATTCGTTACGTAATACTTGAACGCTCCCTTATGTACATCGTGTTAAGAAATTATTTGAAAATAAACTATATAAAATAAAAATATTAGTTTCTAACAATATGAACAGTATTATTACAAAAGTGCAGGTAGGTCGCATCGATGTTACAACAGGCATAATGTGACTAATGAATAGTAATACGTAGACCTTTTAATTGCAGTTCGGCGGCTCACAGATGGTAGCAGTTCCGAGGGATCTCCGGGTCATTTGAGCCGGGACGAGAAACGCGCTAAGGCACTCGGTAAATGTTAGACCTATTCTTTATTTCTGAATATATATGTTCTGTTAATAACCCAAAGCTCTCAAAAATTCTCTGTTGCTTGCCACTAAAATCTATAATAAATGAAAATAGCTATAACTATCATTCTAATAGGTCGGAGGTTCGATTCCCGGCTTTGCATCAATGGTCTTTCTTTTTATATTCGCATTAACGTTCGCTCGAACGGTGAAGGAAAACATCGTGAGGAAACTGGCTTGCCTTAGACCCAAATAGTCGGTGTGTTAGGCACAGGAGGCTGATCACCTACTTGCCTATTAGATTGACAAATGATCATGAAACAGATACAGAAATCTGAGGCCTAGACCTAAAGTGGTTGTAGTGCCACTGATTTATTTTACATAAATTTGTTATTTAATTTCTTAGTAAAGGCTGTGTTATCGTCGCCGTAGAATGATAAACTTGTATCTCCAGAGAACCAAACATTACAGGAAACGAAAAAAGATGTTTATTTTCGTCAATGTTCGTTAAAATATTTTTTTTTTGTTGATAGTTTTGGATGATAAAAAGGACTTATTCATTAATAACATAAATAAGTCCTTACTTCATGATTTTACCAGTTCTACCATACATAAGAGTCTAAAAATAAATATTTTTTTCCTGATAAGTTGCTTTGACCATTCCTTTATTTTTGAATACTTAACGTAGCTGGAATTTCGAATCAATTTTTTTAATTAAAAAAATTCTTCAGGTATACCTCTGGAAGTAGCTGACATAATAAACCTGCCGATGGACGAGTTCAATGAACGCCTTTCAAAACACGACTTAAGCGAAGCCCAACTCTCACTCATAAGAGATATTCGGCGGAGAGGGAAAAATAAGGTGAGAATCATATAATAAATCTATTGTATTAATCAAAGCGGCGTTAAGGACCTATCTGGTCGCCAAACTCCAAAAAAGTACATTGTTTCTATCCATTTTTCGTCATCGTTTCTTGAAGTAGGGCGAATGGAAAAAATATATGGTGGAGTTGAGTAGTTTATGTATCCATTTTTAAAGATCGATACACGATTTAAATAACTTCGCTCGATAGAAAAATAATCCAAACATAGCCAATTTTTTTTTAAATTAATTTTATGACAAAATTATAAAATACATCCGAAGTGTCAGTCAGAAATTTTTGTAAAATACAGTGTTTCTGGACACATAGGCCTCTTCCAGCTGCTTCCGATATTTTCTAATGTTAGCTCTTTTTGTCCCAGTTGTGTTTCTTATTCTCTTTATATCGTCTGCCCATGTCTTTCTCTGTCTTCCTCTTTTCCTTTTTCCATCTCGTGATTGTAATAATTTTGTCCATTTCAACCTGCTATCTCTCGTCAGGTGCCCAGCGCCATTTCAAACGCCTTATTTCTTTGCCTTGGTTGTTGCGGGGATGTTCAAATAAATGAAACACTTTGTTTGAAGCTGGGTCAATTAGCTTTAATCGTTTAAAACATGAGCTTACAACTAACATAAAATGAGGGGTTGCGCCGCTAACGAAACACTAACTTGGCTTATTTAACGGTTCTTAAATCTAAGTTACACTTATATTTATGATTTAATTAAGCGGTAATACATTTATTATCTTTCAGTGCTTCATCAAAAATATCTTTAATAAAGTATTAATTTCTTCCCTTATCAGGTAGCAGCCCAAAACTGCCGCAAACGCAAATTGGATCAAATCACATCTCTAGCGGACGAAGTGCGCACAGTCCGCGATCGTAAGATACGCACGCAGCGCGATCACAACGCACTCCTCGCCGAACGACAAAGGCTGAAGGAGAGATTCGCGGCACTTTATCGACACGTTTTCCAGGTATGATATTAAATCTTCTATTTTTGATGTTATACATCTATAGCCGCACGTAAAACCGATTTCTGGCGTGGCGACGCGTCGCCAGAAATCACTGATTAAACGAATTATGTAGTCACGATTTGAAATAAATTCGTAAATTTTTGTATTTAATGAAAATAAATGTTTATTCAGTAAATAGTCATCGTTATCTGGAAAAGAAACCGTAATATTTTATTTTATCATTATGACATATTTAGTTCCTTTTAATTTTAAAACTGGCAGTAAATGTAAAATTAGAAGCATTTAATGTATGTTTCACATCTGCCAGGCGTCCCGTGACGGCTCACATTTTTTTCATTCAAGTCTTCACATATTATCAAATCAATGTATACAAATTGTAAAAACTGTTTTTAAAAGAGTAACTATGGAGTCTTTTGCCCATTCTCCTCCACATGAAACTGCCTATTAGTAGGGGCAACTAAAGTCATTTTTACTGCTAATTATAACTTGACTTTTCTGCTCCTGAGAAGTTATATCCTTTTGGTTGACGAACGTACCTTCGTAAACCAAAATCCAGTTCCGAAATCTACAATGTAATAATGTATATGGGTCATTCCACGTCAAATCGACCAATAGTTGGACTCGACCCCTTTCGATTTGGATAAATTTTGGTCAGAAGTTTTCTTTTATCCTATAACGAAGTTCTGCCAAAGGAAAAAAATTAAAAAATTTTTTTTCAAAAGTTATGCAAAATCCAAAATTTCACTATTTTCCATATTTTTTAAATTTATGTTTCAAAAATCTCGAAAACTATTGCAATTAAAAAAATCGCTTATGGTAAACTTCAAAGGGGACACTTGGGGCTATTAAAAAAAAATTCCAAAAAATTTTTTTGAAAAATCTCCAATTTGTGAAATTTTGAATTTTTGAAAATTGTCAAAATTGACCGTCGACAATAAATTTTTGGCTCAAATTTTTTTGTGTACTACCTTGTACCAATCTTAAAAGATCCTGAAATTTTTGGAATTGTGTTTTTTGTTTTTTCAAAAATATGAATTTTTGAAATTTGTTAAAAAAAAATTTTTCGTAACAGAATGTCAAGTAAACTTACACGTAAAAAGCCCTATTAAATAAATTAATAACCAATAATAAACAAATATCATTAATGTTTTTTTCTCTCATCATTATGCCACTCATGAAAATTCAACTGTTCAAAATATCAAAATTACGCGATTTGCCAAGGGGGCCCTGATAAAAAAAAAAATATTAAGAATTTTTTTTTTTATCAAATTTCAAAAATTCATATTTTTAAAAAAACAAAAAACACAGTTCCAAAATTTCAGGATCTTTTAAGATTGGTACAAGGTAGTACACCCAAAAAATTTGAGCCAAAAATTTATTGTCGATGGTCAATTTTGACAATTTTCAAAATATTATCAAAAATCAATGTATTTCAAAAAATTTTTGGAAATTTTTTTTAAAAGCCCCAAGGTGACCCTTTGAAGTCTTTTGCCAAAGCATTCTTTCCAATAGTTTTCGAGACTTTTTGAAACCTAAATTTAAATATGGGAAATAGTCAAATTTTGGATTTTGCATAATTTTGAAAAAATTTACTTTTTTGCTCCTGGCAGAACTTCTTTGGATAAAAGAAAACTTCTGACCAAAATTTTCCAAAAAGTCCAGTCCAACTACGATGTAATGAATGTATCCATATATATATAAATTTTACTAATTTTATCTAAATTGAGTAACTTTTTGAGTTGTAAAGATACCGTTTTTCTTGAGTCTCATGTGAACGTAGCCGCTATGTATTGAGTTGCTTCGGAGGAGACTGGAGACTGTACTTTAAAGTCATTTTTAAAGGAAGAAAGAGACTTTCGAGTTTATTTTTATTTAACCATGATATGGCAACAAAAAGCATTGGCGTAATTCATTGCCACCAGAATGTGAATTATTTGTTTAGTGTTATGGTGTAATGGTTGCAGCTCCTAACAAACTTTATGTAAAACAAAAAACTTGGCGATTAAAAAGAGTGGTGGAGAGTTGAGTGCCAGTTCTTCTCTTCCGTTCTACGCCCTTGATTTGAGAACTGGCAGTAAATGTAAAATTAGAAGTATTTAATGTATATTTCTTTTTTGACGTTCATAAGTGTACATTGGGTTACTTCTTCACGTAACGTGATTACTATAAATATATACGTATAATGTTTACAGAACCTCCGCGATGGTGAAGGTAGGCCGCTATCATCAGCTCAGTACTCGCTGCAGCAGGCGGCCGACGGAAACGTTGTTCTTGTACCCAAAATGAACCCGCATGGTATGTGAATTTTATTTAACCTTTTAGAAACGTAATACATATAAACTTCCAAAAGCAATGTTAATTTATTGTTAACCATCTATTAAAAATCTTACTTCTCTTCTCCATCTGTGGCGCTACAACCGTTTTAGGCCTCATTTGTCAATGTAATAGGCAAGTAGGTGATCAGCCTCATGTGCCTGACACGCTGTCGACTTTGTGTCTGAGGCAAGCCGGTTTTGCCAAGATATTGTTTTCCTTCGAATGTTAAATGTGCACATAGAAAGAAAGTCCATTGGTGCACAGCCGGGGATCGAACCTACGACCTCAAGGATGAGAGTCGAACGCTTAAGCCAGTTCAGTCAAGTTTATAAAGAAGAGAACGACTCCTTTTGATTATGAATTTAATTACTTTTTCATTAAGCTTGGTATGAAGACACGCCTTATAATTTAGCCTTTACTTCATACATACCAAATATTTTAGATTGTTACAGTCTGATTAAATAAACCAATAAATATTTTAAGATAATGGCGATGCGAGTAGATTCTGTGTGTTAAGGAGCGTTCAAGTATTACGTAACAAAGTTTGGGAGGGAGGGGGGTCCTTTTGCAAAACGTATGGGGGGGAGTACGCGTTATTGTTAATATCTTTATCTACTTACACCACATAATAGTAGTCGAAACGTTTTACTAGACATCTCTTGAAAAGTTACGCGAGTATGGGCAATAATCTCAAGTTTTAATCGATTTTAGTTTTAATCGATTATATTCTTTTTAGACCACGGCATGAACAGAACCGACGACGACATGGACAGAAAAAAGAGCTATGAGTGACATTACCTACCTTTTTGGTAGCGAGACTGGAACAAATATACCTCTGTGTTTACAAAATTGATCCACGTACTTAAAATAACCGTTCTGCCAAAAGCAATAATTCTGTACAAATTGCCTTATTAAAGATAAAAATTCTTTTGAAACATTTATATTATTCATTTTATACTTCCAACATGAAGTACAGAGTTTACGACGCATTTGTGATTGTCGCCGAACGGGCGCATTCGTAGGGATTGCGAAGGTGAGAGCGCTTTAAATATTCGAAAAAATACTGATGTGATAGAAAAAGCTATTCCATTTTCGATTAGTTTCCGTTTAGTTTACGGTGTTGCCAGTGTAATTTATAATAAAGGTCACGTTGCAATAATTGTACATTTAGTCGTTTTATTTATGTATAGCGTAGGTTAATTGTTATAGAAATCTGTTGTATTATTTCCGGTCGTCTACTAAAGTACAAAATTATGGACGTCTCGGGTCCGATGGAGAGGAATTTGAAAGACCGGACGGTCTTTTAGATTAAGGAACTTATTGTAAGCCATATTGATAATTGTCATTTGTGTCGGCAATTTTTTGGGGGCAACATTTTTTCCTTTTTGGTGCAAACATTTAACTTTTACTTGAAATAAATAAAATCTTGGTTGTTTCAATGATTTATTGAAATGGATTTTGTTATATGTAAGCACTGTCTGAATTTTAACCAACTTAGAAATAAATATTATTTAGATATCAACAATTTACTGTGGAAATCGCGATCTTTGAATTGAACAAAATAATGCTTAACATACAACCTTTATGGGTTTCGTGATTACTAAATGTATATATTTAGAACGTATTTACATATTTTCATGTTTATATTTGTTTTAAGAGTCACATTAATTTTATTTATAAAATAGTATCAGTATGTAATATTTTACTTCTCCATAGTGTAGTCTTGGTTTAAGAATTGTTGAAATTAGTTTTTCGAGTTGGACCATTAAAAAGAAAATACTTTAAACTAGTATCAAAATAGGTTAGAAATTCGAAGTTGGTTCGAAATTGCAATTATCTGTATCTGTTTAAAAATGTTGCCATTAAAAAAATATCTAATCTGTGGTGAATATTTTGTAACACTAAATCGCTTTGCAAGGATATATTTAATTTAAGTATCTTAGGCGACGGGTAACGCATATTGAAATAAGTTTTTTTTAATAAAGGCTTAGCGTGACTATTGTTTTTTTTAATTTACCATTTTAGGGATATAAAAGTTTTACTCACTGATCACATGAGACCATACCTGAAATATCAAAAGTTGGAGTTATAGTGTTGACGGGGAACCCTATACTATTCTATTTAGTTTGGGGTAATAACCAAAATCCCTCATCGTAGATTTTATAATCTAAGTATGGATGTTTGAATTAAATACAATAAATATGTATTGATACTTCATTATAATTTGAATGTTTGACTAATTAAAAACACATTACAATTTAAATTCCTTGATACCAAAAACAAATTGGTTGTCTGTAAAGTCGGTTTACTGACGATAGTTGAACGTGACAACGTCATCAGAAAATACTGGTGGAATGATTGCATTTTTCAAAAGAAAATTTAAATTTTATTTGTTTGATAGATATTTTGTATGGATTTAGAGGAGGTAAATGGAAATCACAATTGAATTGATCAAGTTACATTTGTGCGCATCAATACACAGATGTCGAACGCTGCCGTACGCGGAGGCCGATTGTGCCTCTTTGTCGCTCGTTCCGCGCTCTCGCTTGCTCTTCACGCCTTAAATGGAACGCCTCAGAGGTAACGCCGCATGCGTCATGTAATTTCGTGCGTGCAGCCGGCTCCATCGAATTATAAGACGTTGTCACGTCAAAAACACAAATTCACCTTTAACTTTTGCCTAATTTCGATTTTATTAATTCACGGCGAGTATTATAAAGCCTAAAAATTATTTAAATACATCACATTAGTTTGGCCGCGAGCTGTTACAATATTTTATTCAATATAGACTATTTAACGAGTTTTTTAAATAAAAATCATTTGGTGTCTACTTCGTTTTTTCTTCCGGAAACATCCGTCTCATCTCACGCGAACTTCAGACATACGTTTGTTTCACTAGTCACTGGCGCGGGCGGAGTTTTGCTAGCCCTTTGCGCGCTATTAATGGGCTGTTGACCTAATTGGATCCCTCTTTGTCGCTCAATAGAAAACATTGAAAGGGTAGGAACTGCAGCCGATATGAATCCACGAATGCCTTAAGTAATTATTGTTCGAAACGAATACAACCAAAATCCTTTCGAGCTGTACGGTGAGAATCTATTCAAAAGAAGGTACCGTTTTTTGAAACACACGGTATTAAATGTGGTACTTATTGCTTATTGATTTTTCGCGTCTGGCAACTCTGGTAGTAGGTTGTAAGAAAACAACCTCTACATTTAATTAAAAAAAATAATAATTTTAAGGGTTTAAATTTAGTTAAATTAGGGTAATATAGTTAAAAATAAGATTTGTGTAAAATATAAAGTGATTATACAGTGTTTTTTGTCGCGGGAACTTGGCACAACAGGTATCTAAAACCGGCTGTCAACTCAACGCCTTAACGGTAACGAAGTTTAAAATATCGTCAAACCTGGGGAGTATTTTGTTCTATTTAAGTTATATTTACTGACTATATCACATCACAAAATACTGCTCAGTTTTTGAAGCTACGTCCATTACACATTGGCACGGTTTATCTCATTTTGCTTGACAACTAGTGGAAGCAAAATCGACGACGAAAACATTCGCCCAGACAATTAATACTACATAATTTACTTGACAAAATAAGCCCATTTTGTGTGTATTTAGGTTTCATTAGATATTTATAGGTAAAAAATAGGACAACAACAACCACTCACACAACAGTTACCTATATATACATACCTTTTTCGCTTGTTCATTGCATACAGTCCCTATTATACAATATGATGACTCGCAGAGGCTTGGCTTTGCAAGAAGAGTCTAAACTTAAATTAGCACTGACTGAATTGCAGTCTTGCAGGGATTTATGTACCCAGTTAACAAGTGAAAGAGAAGAAAATGAAAAAGAACTCTTAAGTGTGTTGGAAGGCAACAGGAAGCTCAAAAATGAAATGTCCTTGCTATTTCAAGAAAATAATTCACTTAAAGATCAGTGTGATATGCTTCAGCAGGAATTAAATAAACTTGATAGTTATGGTAATGAGTATGAAGTTGCTTTGCTGCACATAAGAAGTCTTGAAAAACAGCTATTGGAGGCTCAACAATATATTAATAACCTGGAGGCAGTCTCACAAAGTGTAAAATATACACACACAAACATTTTATATAATACATTAATTCATGATTCAGGTTCTACACCAACTCATAATGTAAATAGTTTAGGTAAAAACAAAATAAGAAAATATATTAAAATTAATAAATACATTAAAAAGACACAGAAGCTAGTAAAACAATATAGAAATGTAAACAGTGTGGATTTAAAAGTTCAAAACACACAACTTCAAAATGAACTTGACTTGCATTTAATTGAAACTGAAAATGCTAAATTAAAATATGAATCTGACACATTAGATTTAAAAACAGAAATTTTAAAATTAAAAGAACTTACAAACACTCACTAAATTTGAAGAATCACAATGTATGATAGAAAAATATTCTTCTGCGATGGAAGAAATCTTCAAATTTATAATTACACCGCAGAATGTTATGAGCAATTGCAGAATAAAACTTATGGTTGCAATTATAAAAGCCAACCCAGTCTCCAATTACCACAGACTTCACAACATACTCACAGCCTCCCCTACCCCACAACAAACACTCGGTTAAAGGAAAAAATTAAGGCAAAAGAAAGGAATTTAATGTATTCCGATGAAATGGGTCAGGACATGGGTACTATTGTACAATTAAATGATGGCCAAACATTTATAAACAGCTGCTATCCCAATGCCACTTTTAAAAACATTGTGAAAAATCATATAATCAAAAACAATGATAATTGTAATAATTTTTATAGGGAACAGGGGAAATGTAAATAAACATGATCTTTTTAGTATTATATGAAAAACTTTGTTGTTTAGACTCTAAGAGGATTGTTATGTTTACATTTCCCTATAGCCAAAGCTTTCCAAAGGAAGAAAATGACACAAGATATATTCTTAATCAAACATTGCATACATTGGCAATGTAAAATGATAAATTTTATGTCATAGTTTTTTACATACCTTTTACTATACCAATAGGTATAGTAAAAAGTTTTTTATCACAAAGGGTAGATATTATTACCTACCTGCTTTCTTAAAAAGACAGATAGCTGTTTCGCTATCATATTTTATAGAGATGACAGCCAAGAATTTGGCTAGACCCCTTGCTTCTATTGAGCAAGCATTAGATTATAAGACCTTGGAAGTAATTCCAAATAATATTTATTTAAATTAGATAATAGGACAACAGAGCACCACACTTGCAATAATAAGGTAAGTATATTATGTGATAAGTCATTCCCAAAAAAATATTGTGGTACATCAAAATATACAGGGGATGAAAAATAAAGAATTAGAAATTGAACTATTCTTGAATAGTTAAAAAATAGACTTTTTGTGCATAACAGAGCACTGGCTAAAAAAATATGAAGTTTTGTTTAATTTTTGTAACCACAGGGTTTGTAGTGTGTTTTGCAGAGAAAATGCAATTCATGGTTGCTCATTAATCCTAATTAGTAAAAAACTTTAATGCAAAGAAAGAAAGGATATTATCAGCCTCTCTGTAGAACTAACTATTGAAATCTCCTGTGTGGAACTGGAGCAATTCATTGTTGTATGTCTATATTGTCCTCCATCAGCTGTCTATAATAATGTTGAAAATGTTTTAGAGGAGATATTGTGTAAATTAGTAAAATGTAATAAAGGGCTAATTGTGTGTGGGGGGATTTTAATATCAATTTACTTTGTCATTCTAATTCAAGTGTACGCATACTTAGTCTTTTTCGTTCATAC